TAATTACCATACACCTCCATATATTCGTTCCTAATTTTAACTTAAAACTCCATACATTCCGCGAGCTTTTTCAAGCCTCGAAAGGCTCGAGAATTCCTCAGACGAGGGAGAGCTGGTCCGGCGGTCCGTCCTTGCTCGCTCGATTCGCTGAAAAGTACAGACTCCTGTGATCGAACCGATAAAACAACGATCATAGAACGTTGCGTCAATGAGCAGCGGATCGAGAGCAGGGTTAGCAAATCGTTTCGAGTGTCCCAGCGTGTGGCACGCGGTGGCAGAGGCGGCCCGAGAGGGTGGAAGAGAGAGAGAGAGAGAGAGAGAGAGAGAGAGAGAGAGAGCTTAAAGTCAGCACCCCCGTAATGGAAATTGGGGAATTCCCGAACGTACGACGAAAACGGCTGCTTGTATCGACCGAGTCCTCATCCGCGGAACCGGCAAATACGAGCTACCGGCTGGCAAGAGGGGGTGGTAGCTGGCGAAAGAGGGGACCGGGGGTGAGGGGAGGGCGGCAAGGGGTGAACGGAGGTTTAAGGGTGGACGTACGTTGCCTGGCAACCCATCCCTTCTCGCCAGCATCCCCCCTGGACCGTCACAGCTCCAGCGGCGATGCCACGTTACCAATACCAACCACCGATGCTCTCTATGCTTCCACCAACGCGGCTACCGAGTCTCGATTTTCCTCTACTCCCGTCTCCCCCCGCGTTTATACACCCCGTTAGAGGAAACGTGTTCTCTCCTCTCTCTCTCTCTCATACACAAACACATAGACGTACACTCTGTCTCTCTGTCTCTCTCTCTCTACCCGTCCAACACTCCACGCAGCTTCCTCCATTATTCAGACCCGATGCTCAACCACTGTCCCTTTTCGTCGGTTTCATCCCTCCACCTGCTCGTCTGGCTCGTCCTCTCTCTCTCTCTCTCTCTCTCTCTCTCTTTCTTTCTTGCCTTTCTTTCTTTCTTTCTTTCTTTCTTTCCAGCCTTCCACCGGGGATTTCGCGGGGAATCTCCTCCGGATAATGGACGTCCGTGCACGCGAATTAGAAGCGACGGTCGCGAAATCGTTATCGGAGGAGCGATTTAGTCGCGAGGAAGATACAGGAAGCACGCGTGGCTGTAATTGGAATTTGAAACTGGTCGGGGAATTGTTCGGCCGTCGGATTTTGATCTCTTTTCTTGCGAGATAATTATCGCGACTCGATTGTTCGAATGGAGTTTGAGAGAATTTTCTTTTCTCGTAAACAAAACGATTTAAAACCGATAAATGCAGGTGATTCGAGAGTGTTTGAAAATTTTTCTTTCCGTCGAGAAACGTGACAATAGTAACGGCGTAGGCAATATCGAGCTTTGAATTCGGAGTAGACCAGAATTCCTTGAATCTTAGATTTTTCTTCTTTATGTTTGACGATTGGCTCTTTGGGAAATGTGGTATAATAACGTAAGAGAGTAACTGAAGCTCGAAAACGTAAATTACTCTAGCGACAAGTTCGTAAACATAACGTAGAAATTGAACACAACATAAATTGACTATAACAAATATAATTGAGCTTTGAGTTCGAGAAACGTAGATTAATTGACGTATTAAACGTAGAAAATGCAAGAAAAATATTAATTAGAGAAATATAATTTAATATCTTTAGCAGATCATTCGACCATTATGGCAAACTTTCGTCGTAACGTAGACACCGATGCACGTTCGTAAATTTAGGTACCTCGATTTCATTTTCAAGAATATAATTTTATAAATACCGCGTGATATTCAAGAGTAACCTCTATCCGATATCGACAAATCTATCTTTGCTGCTCACCGAGACGCGAGACTCCTCGCCGTTGCAAGAACCGATAGCACCTTAGATCGTAGATTCACGTAGATTACGTAGACATTAGAACGACTAAACTGTTACTACCTCACGTCCTGTTGGAGCGAATGTCTTCGATCGATTATACAGCTATGACAATTAAATCTAGAGAATGGCAACAACGTGCAACGTGTTCGTGAAAGCAAGGTGTATGACCGATTTATTAATAACACCTATATAACCAGACCATGTTCAATTGCATGATGTAACGTCGTTCGAATAAACAAGCATACGTAACCAACGCAACGCATACCATTTTTCTTTTTTTCCAGTAATGCTACGAAACGAATGCATCGAAAATGAAATCCTTGATTACCAAGTTGTCCAACCTGTCGCTTCTGAATATCTAGAAAAACAAAATCGTCGGCGTAACTTTCACCGGCTCACTTTCCGTAGTCCCGTCCTCGTCGAGCAGAAAACCGATCGGATTGAAAACGGTCGGCTGGATCGATCACGCAATAAAGAATAATCCGAACGAACGCTCGTTAACTCCCCCATTGTAGTTTCTTCTTGTATCCAGTTCCCTCTCCCGCACTCGTCTCACGGAAAGAGACTGAGAAACTTCGTCGTGTCGTAAGAACACAGATCGGCTTGATGCATCGAATCGGATAAAGGCCGGATAAAATTCGATCAATCATTCGTATCTCGCGATGTGCGCGAAGACTCGTAAAACGCCGCGCCGTAATTCGCGAGAGGCTCGCGAGAGACGATAAATACGGGGAAGAGAATTCCTATCGGAGAGTCCTCGGCGAGTCTCATCAGCGTCCTTCATCAATCAAAACCTTTCCTCAAAGTAAAAGCAGCAGGTCGTTATCTCCAGCAGCGAAGCCAGCAGTAGGCAACCTTCCCGGCAAACCGTAAACCGTCGGCGAAAGATAAAAGTAAAAGGTATGCCATTTTCGTGACGCCACCCCTGACCAGCTCTCGAAATTCTCTCGCTTCATTTCCTCTGCGGCGTGGCGCGTGAGCGCGACAAAGGAATTCAGATGAAGGTCACTTTACCAATGGAAAGAGGCTCGAAACGAAAAGGGACGAGAAGGAAGGGGGAGGGCTTTCCACCCTCCGACGGCTCGATCGGCGAATAAATTTCATTCAGGTGACATGTTCTCTCTCGATGAGAGAAGGCTCTGATACGCGTTGATTGCAAATTAGTTGATTTTATGCGGCCGTGGAGCGCGATTAACGCGCCCTGTCCCTTTCGCTTGCTGAATCGATTAACACGCGATGTTACTTCCTTTCTTTTTTTTTTTTGCCGAGCACTTTGAAGTAGAAAAATTGGAGATTAGATCGGCGGAGAGAGAAGAGTTGATTATTCCGTGAAGAGGAGACGAATGATGGCTCCGTTGATTATACATATACATATATATATATATATATGTATATGTACGAAGTGACATCGATGGGAGAGAGTAATTCGCCCACGAATGATAGTTGGATCGGGAAAAATTATACCGGGTGTGAAAAAATCGTTCGATCGAGGCAACACAACGGATGCTTTCTTTTTAAATGATCCTGTACTATTTAGTACTGATACACTACGTTTTAAAACTTACTCAGCCTTCGAATTTCACGTGAAACAGGCTTCAAAAGTAACACGAAAGAAATATATACCACGTGTCCAAGTTCACGTGTCGATTCTTTCGCGAAAGAAGGCATTTCAAAGTAGGTTGATCGCGATCGGCGGAGATAGACGTCGATATCGCGAGACGGTGCGCCGATGCGTCGCGTTTTAATTGCATCCTTTCGAAGCCCTCGTTACATTGACATAAATGAATATTTATCAACCACTTCTCCGGCAACTCCGTTCGGCACATTCGAAACCTAGTCCCTCGTTCTAGGAAAGTGAATGGAGAATGGGCTCGCGCGACTGGGCAGGAGTGTTTACCAACTATTCGCGCGGGTCCTTCAACTTTCTTCGATCGAGTCGCATTCGCGTTTTGCCGCGAATTACCGCAAATTATCAACGGCATCAATGTTGCCAGTGCCTCGTTCCGCCTCCGTGGCCGACTGTTTCGACGTTTCGTTTCCGGCCGGCGCGAGCTACGCGAAATCATAAGCCCAAATGCTCGTCTATAATTCACCGGATTACTCCAGCGTGAGGCTGATTTTACCAGTCAGCGTTTTATCGCGAGGAGAAAAAGAGAAGAAAGAGAGAGAGAGAGAGAGAGAGAGAGAGAAAGGAGAAGAATGAATAAATGGTACGAGCATTTCGTTCAGTCGAAAAGCTCCCGGGGAGGGAGGATGGCTGGTTGGAATTATTTAACAGAGATATAAACCAGGCCTTGGGAAAAAGTTTCGAGATACTCGGTTACAGTTCCGCGGTTCACCGAGTGTAACACCGTCTACTCCACGGGTTTTCATCAAATAATCATTCGATCCTAATGCCGTCACCTCGACCAACGGCACTGACATCGTTCCTCATTCTCTCTCTTTCCCTCTTTGCCTCCGTGGTCCAGGGAAGAAGTTGAAAGCACTCTCGAAACGCGCAAACAGAAGAAACCTGTATATATATATATATATATATATATAACGGAGAGGCGAAACGAAGGAGGAACGCGGTGGGAAAAGAAAAAAGGAGGAACGAAAGAAAGGTTGAACCGAAGCAGAAAGAAGAAGGAGACTGAAGGGATACAAGAGAAAGGACAAGAAAAGGACCGCGGGAAGGAGAGAGGAAAAGAAACGACAGGAACGCGAGGAGAGGGTTTGGCAAACCCGGTAAGAGTACGGCGAGGGGGAGAGAGTGTGCGGCAGAGAGAGAGAGAGAGAGAGAGAGAGAAAGAGAAGCGAAACGGGGAGGAGAGAATCACGTGGGAAAGGGGAAAAGCCGAGATACGGGGAGAGATCAATACGAGGTCGCTAGGCAACGAGCCTCCGGCGATCTCAGTCCGGGTAGACAGGGTGCCGCCACCAACCCCTGAAGCCACCCACCAGCCACCCCCCGAACCGACCTGCCTCCCGTTGCTCTCTGAATATACCCCGTGCGTTTCCCACCCTTCTAGTTACTCCTCATCCTACTGTTTTTTATCCTATCCGCTCTTTCTCTCTATCTCTATCTCTATTTCTATCTCTCGCTCGCTTTACGCTTCTCTCGACGTGTTCTCTCTCTCTCTCTCTCTCTCTCTCTCTCTCTCTCTCTCTCTCTCTCTCTCTCTCTCTCTCTCTCTCTCTACCACTGTGTAGCTAGCTCCACTGCTCCACCTCGTCGTCACCAGGGCTGCTATCTCCTGCGCGACGTACGCTGCCTTCGAAATCTCTCCTACACCTGGTTCCACCAGCTTCCCCTCGATACCGCTTGCAATATTTACGATAACCGTTTGCATAGGAATCTCGATTTTGCGGCGGATACGCTCTCGCCGGTTTGTCGGAACGGACACACCGTGGTGTATCGGAAATCGGCCCTGGTACACCTCTATCAGTTTCTCTCTTCTCTCCCTTTCTTTCGTCTACTTTTTTTTCTTCCTCCTTTTCCTTTCTTCTTTATTTTTTTTTCTCTCTCTCTCTCTCTCTCTCTCCGGGTCCGGGTCAAGCGGACTGACTTTTTTAGACTCGTTTGAAGATTTTGCACAAAGACGTTGGACGGTCGATTGATCGGCAGGCAAGAGGCAGAGAGGAGACACAAGCCTCTGTGTGTGACCCGGATGTATCGCCACCTGTTGTAGTGGCTCGCCTACGTGCGAAACGACGTTCCGAAAAACGACGCCCCGCTGGGTAAATCAGCTCGGACTTTGATCGGGGCTGAATTTGAAGAGTGCCGCGAATAACGCGTCGAACGTGGGGGAAATACGGACGGATTGTTCCCGACAGTGATCGATAAAGCAATGAAACGACCAGCGTCGAGCAAAGTTCTCCACTCTTCGATCCGATTATTTTTATCGCGATAAGAAGGACGATACACGAGAGATCGGGGCCGTCGTCGTGAATCGAATTAACGTACGACGCTCTCGTATCGCATCGCTCGGAATTCGATTACCTCATCAAGTAAAGATAAGTATACCGATATTACTGGACAAACGAGGGCGCACGATTTCGCGCCCCGACAAAAGGCAAGACAAACATTATTCCAACGAGACGATCGGTTTAATCGGACAATTGGCAGATCATTGCTACGCCACGCAGAATCCAATGCTCCGGTGGATGGTCCGTCGGGAGCCATATGGCGATTACGAAGTTCGTCGAGTGGCCGGTCGTCGACAGGACACCTTTCCTCTCCGTAGTTTTGTACACCGGGCAGGTGTACGTGTACCTCTCCGGCAGATCGTCCTTTTTCATCGGTATCAGCCAAATCTGCCGGAACGAACACGACAGGTTGTAGGAGAAATTCGATTGTACGGTTTGTACTTGGCGCGAGGGAAACACGAGAGTTTGAAGATGGACGAATAGATGGAGAAATATGTAAAAGTGTACAGGTTTTCTTCTTTCTTTTGGATCTGATTTTGGAAATGACTGAGAAGAAAAGGGAAGTGGAGAAATTTTTGTTCGTTTCGATCTGACTTTAGAAGATGTCCTAGTGTAAAAGATGATAATGTGATTTCAAAGAGAAAGAGAGAGTTATTTTTCAAAGATCTTTTAAAACAATTAAGTATTAATTAAAAATTAAAAATAATAAGTTAATTAACTAAAAATTTTCAATAATAATAGTTTTTAAAAAAAATAAGAACGTAAGTAAGACCTCGAAGAACAGATCTCTGAACATTGAGAAGTCTATATGATTTTAAAGAGACTAGTCGATAAAAACATTGATTTGATAAAGATCCTTTTCCTTCTTTTCTTCTTTGAAACAGAAAAACTTGAGTTTGATTCAATTACCAATAATAAACGTCAGTGAGATTCAATTTCCTGTTTTCGAAATGAGTCGAAAGTAAGAAAGAATACTTACATAAGGTACGGCGTCGTACAAGATTTTCGGCAACGATTCGTCAAGTTTCATGGTTGTTCTGTTGAAACGAGCACCATCAAGAAACAGGCCGTAAATGTAAACACCATCGACTGGAGGTTCATGGAAAACAGTCTCCCTCAAAGGGGCAAAATCGTAGACGAGCAGATCTATCGGTATCGAGTACTTCCTCGCGTAATTCTGACGTGCACCGGTGAGAAACGCCTGCGTAAAATAGAAACCAGAGATCCAGAATGTTGTCGGTGGCCCTTCGTCGTACCACAGCTGCAACGGAAAGATCAAGTAACTTTCTCATGGGAAAATATTTCGTAGTATGTCTCTCGGAGGGATAACGAGTTATTATGGGGCTATTCTTAAAACAAGATATTTCCTTCCTGATAAAAAGTAACTAAAATGAAAAGTTTCACGAGTATTTGAATGCTGACTGTAAAAGGCATTGCACGTCTCGTGCGTGAACACAGTGAGACACAAGTTTGTAGTATAAATGTCTTGGAGTTTGTATATACCTGCATCTTCAAATTTGTTTGAAACTTTAGCGACATGACAATGACGGTCGTGTTTCGTTACGGCGTTAATGAAGTTTCAAAAAGTTTTATGTGGCACGTGTAATATATCCACGGAAGTTTACCGTGTCAAATATTCAAATACGTAACAAAGTCTGTCTGTATAGTGATATAAAATATTAGGCAACTCACCGAAAGGAAATAGTTTTTTACGAATGAATATAGGAAAACTTTCCTTATTTACGTACTCGTCACTATACGTGTATCTATATATTTAATCAACTTTTTTTTTTATCAAAGCATTCACATGCTGGGAAAAGAAACAAACAAAAAGCAATATATCTATGAAAATATTCTCTTATATGTAGGGTGTTTCCCGGGTTTTTCTCGCCAAACTGCAAGAGCTTATTCTAAGGTCCAAATGAAGAAACAAATGTTATGCGAATTAACACTTTATTACAAAGATATAATCAAAAATAGATGCTTAGTTTAATTATTGAAATGCAACAAGATACTGAGACGCTGCACAGAGCAATAAATTCAGTTTTTCATCGATGTCAAGCTTGTACCCGAGCAGAAGGACATCAATTTGAAATGAAACTTTAAAAACTAGCGAGTAACTATTTATCATTATTTGTTTATCTATCTCCTTAACAAAGCGTTAATTCGCAAACTTCGTATAACATTCTTTTGGCCCCTAGAATAAGCTCTCGCAGTTTGGCGGGAAAAAACCCTGTATACATTCGTTCCCATCACAGATCGCCCTAAGATCATTCTACGCTACCTGAAGAAAGGCGAGCCTCTTCAAAAAGTCCAGTACGTAACTGCCTAGCGGCTTCAACGACGGATAAGAGTTCGCCATCCACATCTTCGGTATCTTTCCAACAATTATCGACACGTAGACCTCCTCGAGGTCCGGGTTCATGATCACCAGACCTTAGATTAAGTTCACGAAGCCGTGAAAAATCGATAGACACACCGGCCGGCCGTCAGAAGCTTTAGCCGTTTACCTTTGATCGCCTTCTGAACATTTATGAGGCTATTCCTGATCGTTTGCAGAAGCTTGTTGAATCTTCCCATTTCCTGCACCAGCACCGTGTTCATGCTTTGATTATATAACGTCGGGTATTTCTCGAGTGCAGCCGCTAGATCGAAGTCGTCGGGCAACTTTGACAGAATATCAGACGCTACGCCGTAGACGATCTCGTCGGGTGATTTTCCTACGTCTATTTCCGTTTCTCCGGTGTCCTAATTGGAGGACGGGGGGAGAAAGCAACACAGGGGCCTCGTTAGTCGTCCGCGCGATTCGTCACGCAGAATACATCTAAGGAGTCCTATTATATTTTGTGAAACACGAGGCGAGCCGAGGCGACCGCGTACACGGTCTTAATTGTCTCGAAATTAATGAACGAAGATAATGATAACGACGGACCCCAACCGTGATACCAACAGCCCGAGACTTCCCGCAACCAAAGCGACGGGGTATTTTTGATACGCGTGAGCCAAGCTACGGCTGTGTTCCCCGCTGTTGTGTGTTGTACGAAAGAATGTTTGAACAATTGAACGATCGATTGACAATCTTTGCTTCGAGAATTATTGAAATGTGCAGAGCTGGTGACAAACCAGTGCTCGTTCCACTTGTTTTCTGTTTTACTTCAAGGAAGCAAAGGGATAGTCTAGCATCTTTAATATTTGCTCAACGCGTTTCAAAGAAAACACTCATCGTGTTTGTCAATTATTATCACAGTTGTGGATGTCATGATAACAATTGTTTTCATAGGAGAATAAATTTTAAAATTCGACGATAATTTAGGCATGTCTCGATATACGCCATTTTTTTATAATATCGATTGTACTACATCAAAATGATTTTGCCTTTGGCGATTGAAAAGTTAAAAAAACTTGACAAGGACTTTTGTTATGAACTCCACAATTTTGAAGATGCCATTACGTTTCTTCTGCTGGATTTTTTTAACTAAGCAGGCATGTACGTGAATAATAAACTAACAATATATATGTATTATTTAATCCTGATTATTATTTACGTCCCTTTGTTCACGTTCAATTATATTTTTCTATTGTTAAAACATTCTTTGCATCGATTCGAACATTTAAATAAAACTTTAAATAAAGAACAATTTACTAAATTTTTGTAAAAAGTCTTCCCTTTGGTTGAAACAATTGATTGGAACGTAAAAATGTAAAGGCAACAGCAGAATTAATGATCGAATGAATCGGATTTCAATATCACTTACCTTGATATCCTGAATAGGCTGAATGAGAGGAAATACAATATAACAATATCGAAATCCCGGAAATACAATATAACAATATCGAAATTGAGTTTCGCAATTGTATCCTCACCTGTGTTGCCAGCAGAGAAGACAGCATCAACGTAGTCTCTTGTTGATCCTTAATAATATCTGCATTCTCGTTCATCCCGAAGACACTAGGCGCAGTGGTCATTGGGAAAGATCTAACATAATCAAGAAATTCTTCGTGATCACTGACTTGAGGTACATAATATATGCCACTAGGATCGAACGGATATTTCTCTTGAGTGATGACTTCCATACAGTAGAATCTCACGAGGATCGTGTTCAAAGTTCTTCTGTCCCATTCGTCTGTCACGCGACCGCCATAATTGCACTCGCCTGTAGGACGAATTAATTACGGATTTAATTTTGTGAGCAAGTGACATCGAACTGAAGAATTTCTAAAAACGAGACTTAAGTTTTTAAATATTAGCCACGTTTAGTTTGATAATTATAACTATTGGAGAAGACTTTTTCTATGATCACAGAATAATATGATTCAATTAAAAGATATATTAGAACTTTAAGGTTTTATTTTCAGATTTACCTGTTAAGTATTTCAAGGCGGTAAATTGAACGTCATCGTACTGATCCAAGAAGATCTTCAATTGCAGCGCACTGATCCGCAGATCAGTCTCGTTGAACTCGTATTGATTATTCCAACCGATCGGCCCGAATTTTCTGCGTTCTTGAACAATCGCGTGGAAAAAGCACAATGAAAACAGTAGTTTCTTGAAAATCTCTTTTTGCTTGCACGTTTCGAAGAAGTCCTCGTCACATATCGGATCCTTACGAATGAAAAAAATATCGAACATTGATATATTTCTTTCAAATTTGAACTATATTCTCTATTATCCTATTATCGAACTCATTATTAAAAGAGAAATCCGTCTCGAAGGAGTTGATTAACAAAGCGAAACATCAGCCTCGATAGTGAAAAAATGGCGTGCAATTTGCGAGGATTTTGTAAAATTCAGAACAGTCATATTTCAGAAATTTCGCTTCAAAGTAGTTACCCGTAAGAAAGATCTGACTATATTTGCTCTCAGTCCTTTCGGCGGCTCGTTGGTCATCTTCACGCCATTCTGAAGGACGCTGACTGGAAAATGGTCCACAGGATAGCTCGTCAGCCATAAACGAAAATCCGGGTGCACGGTTCCAGGAGTGAATTCTTCGCAAATCTAGAAGAAAGTTTCTCGGTTTCTTTTTTTTTTTTCTTGGACTATCGCGTCATGGTGTCATTTAGTGGTCAGTCGGAGAATTCGGCGATACCCTTTCCAAGTCCGGCATAAAGCTCTTGGCAACGTGACAATTCTGCAAGACCACCCAGGTGCCATTTTTCACTCCTTCGTCGATAAGTTGGGTGGCGATAACTCCTTGCCCTTGACCCAAAGACAGGGAGAACAGTCGATTCGTGCCGAAGCCCTGGTCATCGGCGAATTTCAGTAGAATCGCCATAGGATCGGCGCCAGGCGTCAGCACGAATATCAGAGGACTGCAGGAGTTCGAGTCCGCGAACGACGATACCAGGTCGAAGGGCGGCGCCTCAATATACTGATGTCCCAGTTGTTCTGTCAGAAATTAATCGAAAATCGTTCGACCTCGAGTGAAACTTCGATGCCCAAGTCATTTCTCTATTTCTGTTTTCATTTTAATAACTACGGCTTTTCTCTCTATATAGATACATATAATTACGAAACCTATTTGCGCTCTTACGATGGAAAACATTTACGTTAACAGTATAATAAAAGACAAAATTGGCAAACTTTGAAGCCAATTCGAATGCAAGGTAAAATTTATTGTTAACGAATCTGAACGTTTCATAGAAGAGCCTTCAATTTTATATTATAATCATGATAGTCACATCTCGTTTCACTAACGAAATTTCAAAAATTTGTCTATAATACCTTCTACGATATTCGGGCATTTCTGAAATTCTGTTTCATTAAAGATTCCATATCACTATCACGAGGATCGTGAATTACAGTTTTTGTGTTAGAAAAAACATTCAAAACATCATACGCATGAACTCTTTACGATAAATATGCAAACGACGACACGACGTTGAATTGTCACGTCGTTCAACGATGTGCGTGTATCTACATGAAAATTTTTCACCTTCTACAAATTGCTGTACGGCTGGCATGACTTTGTCAGGACGGATACATCGCAGCACGATCATTCTCTTGAATAAGGTGAGCTGGTCGTACGGCGCTGGGAATGTTAAAGTATGAGGCTCCATGTGATCGAAGACAGCCTTCCAACCATCTAAGTGTTCCTCGAACGCATTTTTAAATCCCTAAACAAAAAAAGAAGATGAGGAAACCTTGTAACAAATAGAGAAAATCATTTTCCTTCTTATTTGCTACTACCTATTTCTCAATATTAATTAAAATAATTAGTGGAATTATAATCCTCACTTACTTGTTTCATTCTTCTCTTTTTTTCATATATATAATAATAATAAAAATTATATAATATATTATATAATAAAAATAATTATATATATAATAATAAATTTTGTTGAAACATCAGACACCTTTTTAATCAAAGAAAAAAGGGAAAGAAGGTTGAAAGTTGAAAATCCTTAATTACTTTGCATCGAAACTTAATTCATTAGAAATACATATAAAATTAGATAATTGCGAAATTTTATAATCAGAGCCAGATTATATAAATAGCCTTGGGATCTGACTTATTAAACGCGAACCAGTCGCGATAAAGTATTTAATGCAACTTACATCACCAGGTGAATATATTTACGATCTCGACCAGTCGCAAATGCTAAGATCCTTGTTGGACCTTATTCTGTAACATTTCATCGTACCTCGAACTCCGGGATATCGTTCAAACGGCACAACTCGTCCCAGGATTTCGGAGGTAGCCATTCCGTGGGATTTACGAAAGGATTCTCAAGCCCGACGCTGCCGGTCAACAGGAACATCCATTGAGGCATCGAGAGTTGTCCCTGCTTATTCAGCAGGTTCACCGAAAGCAACAGCGAGAATAAAAGCTTGTCCTTCTCGAACAACGACCGACATATGTTTACGTAGAGGGAGTACGTGAAGTGCTTCGTGAGGTCCTTCAATCGTTGCTGAATGTCTTCGACCGGTTCAGTGTTCTCGATCGTGTTGCTGAACAGATTTACGAACCAGATCAAAGAGTACTGATACATCGGGTCAATGTTCGTCAGGACAGCTGATAGAAAACAGTTGGATTAATCCAATCTTCCTTCGAAATTGACAAATCGAAATTAGTGATGTACCAATCGTAAAGAAAAGGACGGTGCTATAGGCAGCTATGGGCGTGTACTCCAATCTCGCAACGTCGATGGACTTCTCCGTGATTTCAGCCGCTGTTTGCTTCGCGACGATCTCGTCGGAGAGAGCCTTGGACGAACTAAGCACGCTGATCGCTGTTTCGTCCTCAAGGATGTTCCCTTCCGCCGTCGACAGAACCTCCAGAATTTCGTCTTCGATCTCCTTCAGTTTCCTACGGGAACAAGATCGTTCGACGAACGTCGAAGAGAGACGCGGTAAGACGTTGTTACTTACTTCTTGTTGGCAGCCCCTTGGATAATTAACTGGTTCTTCTCAGACTCTAACTCTGGCTTTTCTTTGGCCACCACGATACAGAGCAGCTGATCCTCCAGGCCTATCGGCGTGATCATGAAGTTCAACAGTGTCACCTTCACCGCCACTTCCGGAAAATAATGAGGATTACGCAGTTTCGTCGTGATGTAAAATCTGCGAATCATCGCGAATGATTTCATCGTACAGCTACTTTCAACAACAAGTGGATTCATTTGGAAGGGGACCTACCGAAAATTGGGAGAGTACTCGATGATGGAATCTCCAACCTTGATACACTCGGTGCCGCCGGACTTGAAAGTTTGTTTCATCAGAAGCGGTTCCAGAGCAGCGTCAAGCTCCTCGCCCACATTCTCCAACAGAACCGGCTGTCCGAATTGAATAGCATTTTCCAGGATCCTCATATAATCGGGCTGCGACAATCTGATCACGTGAATGTTATTTTTCTTCTCCATGTTCTTCACCCACTTGTTTGCCTGGCCTTGAGGATCGATCATCAGCGGCCATCGTCGAGAATTCGTGACGATAATCGCGTTGTCTATGGAGAACAAATCGCTGGGCAGCCCGAATATATTCCAAGAGCGTATCGACACAGGATCACCCAGAATCTGAGTCAGTTGATAGTCCTTCGTGCAGACCACTTCCAAATCGGTGCAGATCTGCACCCATTTGTCGATCTGTTCCTGTCTGTATTGAGTGGTGAACACTCCCAAATAGGCCACGATCCCAGAACCGATGAGAATATCGCCTGTCAGTTTGTAATAACGTTCGCCCAGTTCCTTTGCTGTATCGGACCATCTGGTGTACTCTCCCCCTAAGCCGCCAATCAGCTCCCTGGCCCTCCTTAATCTCGTCTCACACTCGCGCACCTCGTCCGTCATCGCCTGGTACTCGGCCCTTCGTTTAGCCAGAAGCTTCTCCAGCCCCGCCAGTCTGTCACGAACCTCTTGCAGCTGGCTTCTCTTCAAGTTCAATTGCGTCATCGCCTCCTTGTAGTCGGCCTCTGCCAGAGCCAGTGCCTGTTTCTTCGGCGCGACAATCTTCGCCACCTTGTCGTACTCTGACAGAGCGAACACCCATCTGCAGAGGCCCTCGCAGGCGGTGGAAACGAACTTGATCCTCTCTGGATCGAAGTTTGGGTTGGTCAGGATGGTGGTGCGGATTTTCGTCATGATCCTTTCCGGAATGTTGTCCTTGTCGTACGTCAACAGAGATTCGAGGAACCTCATGTCGCTCAACAAGCGGAGAGACGGCTTCCAATAATCGTCGACAACTCCATCCGGAGTTTTAACCTTCTCCGGCTTCACGTCCTAATAGGATGGGATTTATGTACGTCATGTTTTTATTCTTTTGATAAGCGAGGCTCGCGTAAGTAACTACGGCCTTTGTGAAGGCTGAGCTTGATGCCTGAAGTTGAAGATCAAACCTTTAGAATGCAAACTGCCTCCATCACCAGCCGAACGCCGGCTGGCGGTCGTTTCATGGATCGCACGATTTGAATATCCTGAGGAGTCAGAGTGTTCAGGGCATCGTTCGCCGCGTTTAATATCGGCATCACTTCTTGCAGATCGGCGTCGCATTCTGCGCGAATGGCGTTCGCCTCGCTCGCCACCACCTACAGATTGAAATTTTAATTTTTGACAAATTGCGAAAATGCAAGGCCAAGGATTTTCTGTCTCTCGCACAAAACTTATGAACGGAAGCTTATAAAAAAGGCAACATTTTTTAATTTATCGATATATTGGTACGTCAAAAAACCGAACTGAAACAAACAATATAAATTTATTTTCACAGAAAACCGTTTGTTCTTCGTAAATAATTGACGAAGAAGAGAGACAGAGAGACGGAAATCGTTGGTATTTGTTTTGCGACTCCGTTTGTTATTAATTAACTACAAAAATCGAACGTCACAATTTTTTGTAGCATATTTTCAATGCAAGTAACGTGACTGTGCGCGTGCACGTAAACGACGTGCTACAGACATTCGCGTATCTCGGTGAGCGAGGACGCGCACTTGCTTCATTCCCCGCAATTTTCATATCTCGGAATCTCATTAATACCCAGGCAACGCAAGGAAAGGAATCTCAGGAGGAGTAATTAGAAACCGTGAAGAAACGTTGGAGTGGCGTTTGCAAGGGCTGAAGCTTCCTAAATAAAATCGAGTGACTGTGATCTTTAGGCCGGCAACACCTTACCATGGCGGCCTTCTCGTCCCTCTTGACGACTCGTTCCATGGCAGCCACCTCGTTGCTCTCCCTTTGAACGTCAAGAAACATGGCCTCCACCTCCTTGGCCGCGACAAGCAGCTTCGGTTGTAGCGCGACTAAAATCTCCTGCATTTTCTCCACTTGCCTGTGAGTACTGTCCAACCGTTCCAACCCAGCCTCGTACCTTCTTTTACCATCGAGCGCCTCCTTCCTCTTCCTCGCCAGCAGGTCCTTGAACGTGCTGATGAGCTCCAGATACAAGGTGGGCGTAACGTAGTTGTATCTCTTCAACTTTCTCAGGAACTCCTTTGACAATCCCTGCGTGGACGTGTGAAAGTACTGGCACATCTCGATACAGGCGGAACGTTCCATCTTGGTCAGATCGATCTCGTCGAGGAACCTGGTCGCCACAGCGAGCAACGCATCCTCCGGCCAAGGCTGCAGCCAGTCTATCGTGCAACAGTTCACCAGCGCCGGGAATTTTCGAATTCTCGTGCGAAAATTGTCACCGATCGGCGACATAGTGACCACGATGTGCAAGTGTTCGCGAACCGTCTGCACGAAGAAATTGAACAACGCCACCGGGCTTCCGTCCGTTTGCAAGGATCTGTCTCTTTGCCGATCGATCACCCGCATCTTGTCGCAGATGTCGGACACCTCGTCCGGCGCGAATATGTTCGGAACCTCGCCGGAATTCAATAGATTGCTGATATCTTCTAAAAACGTCTCCTCCTTAATCTGCGTGTCGAGAAATAGAAAAACCGTGTGCAGATCGCTGGCCGCGCTCTTTCTCAGAATGTCCTTCACGTCTTCGTGCCATTCGTAGCAACCGTACTGCTGGGATATCTCCACCTGGAACAGCTCGTAATCCGCGATGTGGGCCGCCAGTTTTGTCAACGACTGGCGGCCTGAACCACCCACGCCGATTAATAGCGCGTGACTTCGAGGCTGCATCATTATACGAGAGATCTTTGATAGATGTTCTACGGCGAATCTACGGGGGAGAACAAAACGCTGAATTAAACGAATTGAAATAATTCAACTGTTTCATCAGGATAACGATACGTTTGTAATCTAGCTAAGTATGTAAAATTCAAACCTGAAGAGAACGAGGTTCATCGGTGTCCTCGAAATCGTGTTATATTCCGCGAGATATTCTTCGGCCACTATCGCCAGGTAGTCTAAATCTGCAACCTCGAGATATCCTTTCTTATCCGCCAGTGGATCTTGGAAGTCGCAGTACACCAGATTTCGAAGCTCCATTTCTGTTATCTAACGTCAGAATTAAGAAAGAAGACGGGGAAATATAATATTCGAAACATGCGTGCGTTAAAGAAGAACGTACTGTGTCAGCGCGAGCGATGAGTAAATCTTGAAACAGATCGTCCAGGTTGTCGTCCATATATTCTGACATGGTTCGTCGTATTTGCTCGACAAGCCATTTAGTATCATTGTCGTCTACCAAACGATCACCATAAACGCGCAGCACTTCGTGTACCCAGAGTCGCTTTAAACTTCGCTTAAAACATAATGCCATCGTCGTTTTCGTATGATAACTCACAGTATCTTAATGAAAATTACATATAGGCAGCATAATGATGCTTATTTGTTATAAAATTTAAGGAAATTTTAAGAAATTGTAATTCTTATGTACTACATAGGATGAAAGGATCCTGTAACTTTGTCAGTAAATTCAACAAACAAACATAAGAATGTCGCATATTGTTGATTCTTGCTAGATTTTTATATTATTTATCTTTCAAATTTCTATTTCCTACTTATGAACTTTATTCATCTACAGAAATAATCTAACAAATATTTTTGCACGAAGAACAGGACTTAAACTTCATAATAAATGTCTTTACGATCTCGTAATACGGACATGGATAAAACAAACTTTCCCTGGCAACGTTTGGATACTTACAGGTTCCGTGACAGTATCAGGTGTGCACAGCAACACTCCTTGGATCACTCTGGAGAAGTCCCGCAGGTTGAACAGATAATGACATTTGGCCGGTGTCGGTAGAAGATACTTCCTAGTTTCTTTATAAACGTCCAGAGTCCCGCTCACGATGTAATCAACGCTGGGGAAGTAGAAATCCGGGAATTCTTTGTTCCTGAAGTACCAGGACACGATGGTGGTGAAAATGGTGTTGAGAACGTCGTCGGAGAACTCGCAGATCCCTAGCGTGAAGAAGTGCCGTTTGAATCGTGGCGTGACGTCGAGTCCGCTCGCTGGGGGGCCCATTGCACAAATCAACTGAACGTCCACCAGGTGTATGGGCACTATCTCCTTCAGATCGTACCACGTCCAATGATCTAGCCACTGTCTCAACAACTCTATAGGTGGTTGCGCACCGAACTCTTCCTTCTGTGGCATAGAGACGTCGTCCACGAATATCACCCAGTGCTTCCCTGGCGGCGCGCCGTACAACCCTTTCTTTCGCCTGTCCAATTTGTTCATGATGATCTCTTGGGTTTGATTGGCGGTCGTTTGAGCGGAAAATATCACGAAAAGCGGCTTGAAGATATCTGGATCGTTTCTCTTTAATAAAAACTCCATGACGTACACGGACTTGCCAGTGCCGGTTGGACCTACCAGTAGCACAGGTTTGTGGTGACGGATCAACAGTTTGAGCAGATGAAAGTAACGAACGGTTTCGATCGTCGGGACGATTATTTGATTAACCGGTAGGTCTTTCGGTATTGCCGGAACAGCTTGAAGATCTTCCGCCCACGGCCTCCATTTGCCCCTACCCTCTTTGATGTATTTATAATCGTACACCAAACCTGTCATTGGCAAATTTACCACATACGGTTTCGTCGGATCCGTGGTTTCTTCCGAGACGTTGAAGCGTTTCCTGACATCGGCGGGAAATTCTCTCTCTGTTAATGCTCTGAAAAGATCGCTGAACCATTCGCGAGAGTCTACCATCAACGTCCCGCCCATCGCCCAAATACAAGAGAAGAAGAAGCAACCCTGAAACACCATTGACACTCGTCAGTCTCGTTTGATTTTCTTCGATGGCAAAAGACTTTGGAACGTAAGTATTTTACGCGCCTCCACTTGTGCCCTCATATCTAGATCCGACAGGGTCTGAAGATACTTCTCGTCGTGATAATCATCGAGGAAACAATCGAACAAGTATGTCACGGACCTAACAATGTTGGCGTCTGGCATTGTTATCAATTCCTGAGGCAAGAATCGTAGAAACGAAGAGATAAAAAGAAAATGTAAAATAGAGCGATTTATTCAATTAGGTCAAGACCTAATTTATTCGAATTAATTTACGAGTGACATGAACCTTGACTCCCCAACGAAGTAGATTCAAGAGCGGAGGGCAGAACCTCATGTACATCTCGTGCAAGTGGTTTTTAAGGTGTTCCGTGAAAGACGATGGTAAAGTATTTAACCACGACAGCAAAATTGGCTTCCAGCCTAAACTGACTGGCTCCATGTAAATCATACCGCATCTTGACACCGTGGCAGGCGACGCGACCTAAATTGATCATAATAATTAGAGCACGAGCTCATGAAACATTTATGAAATTTGACTAAAGAAATAGATTTTTGTTGAAGCAGGATTCGGAGAATTATACAGCAGCTATCGTATAATAATTATTCGTTTCTTTTATTTATATTTATTGCCACAAAGAGAACAGAATAAGTTATAGTAGATTTGGATCGGAGAATTATGTAGAAGCTGCTGTACAATTATTCGTTAATACGTTTATATTTACTGCTATAAAGAGAACGGAGTAAGAATTATAATAGACTACCTCTAAGTCCATAGGTTCGAAAATTAAGTTCGTAGTGGGCGCCAGTTGGATAATTTCCCCAGAGGTCAGGCAAAGCTTTTTATTATCATCCAAGACAGTGTTCATATTCTCGATCCACAGGGCGTCAACCGGCCCGTCGAAGACTAACCATTTTCTATTCAGGTTGGTGGAAGTCGCGAAAGCTCTGTAACTGACAGCGAGCACGCCGTCGCTCCATTCGTGCGATGCCGGGTCGAACTGGCCGTATAATTGACCCATGGTGATTGCCTTTGGATTGATAACCGTTATGTCCACTCTGTGTTCGTCCATCAGCTTCCGATCCTCCAACAAACCAAGACTATCGGCCAGCATCCTATAAGCCGAGGTTTTCCCACCAAACGGCAGGCCAACGATCATGAAACCGTGTCTGACGATCATCATCTCGTAGATCTGGTGCATCTTCTCCAAGAAGAAATCAGTGCATTGGATGTTAGCAGCAGCACACGCATCCATCGCACAGGCATTCAGATGAGTATAGTCCGGCGGTGGAAGAACGACACCAGGAAACAAATCTGAAGCGATGCCCTCGAACAGAGGTAGATCTTGGACCAGAAATTTCGGCAGATTGACGTCCAATATGCTCCTTAGCATAAGAATATCTTCGGACTCTTCCGGATATCTGAGTAGGGATCGTGACAATTGTAACGTAAGTTTAGAAAGTTACGGTATTAAAAAAAATTAATAGTTAAAATATTTTTGGTTACTCCCGATCATTGTCAATTTTTTATTAACGCTACTAACGTTGAAGATATTTTCTTCTATTGATATTAAAAAATTTTATAGCTCTCTTCTAAACAGACTAACATAATGGTTGCCGACAACTAAATATTGGTTATCAATCACTGTCCTCTACTCACAAATAAAAATCAACTTCGTTTCGTAAAAGTTTTAAAAAATACTGTTCAACGCTCGATACCTGAGCTTCAAGTTTCCAGCGGCAATGAGGACAGATTTGACCGCCCTCATACCATAATCGTAATGATGCTGGCTGCTCAACTGCTCGGAGCACAGCCTGTAAGCTGTGACGATTTTTACAGCCAACGGTCTACCGTTATAAAAGCCATAAGAGTACAGCGTGTTCTCCGCGATCAATGCGTAATCCGGCACCATCATCGCCACGGGTCGGAATAATGCCTTGAGATTGTCCGGTAGCTCGGACCTTCCCGCGTAACCTGGATTCATAGTGATGAAAATGGCGCACGTTGGATCTAAGAAGATCTCTGTGCCCTCGAACACGATCTTCTCGGCGCCGCTGTTTATCGCTCGTTGAATCGTTAAAATTTGCTGCGCGACTACCGACAACACCTCCAGGTCGATTCGATTGAACTCGTCGAAGCAGGACCAGGCACCGCAGGAAGCTAATCCTTTGAAGAATTTCCCTAACGCAAGGTAGTCGAGACCCTCGGAACAATTGAACACCACGCATTGCTTCGCCATCGCCTTGGCGAGGTCTTTCGTCGTTTCTGTTTTACCAGTTCCTGCTGGCCCCTCTGGTGCACCGCCTAGGTGAAGGCTCAGAGCACCGAACAGCGTTCGATAGCATCTGTCTGTTAGAGGAGTGATCACTAGCCTCGACGAATTGCCGAGATATTCGTAACCGTAACGTTGCTGCGAGTTTATCATGTAAGCCCACATGTTTTCTTCCTGAAATGAATATATATCCAGTACATTCAAAGATGCCAAGCGACTTTTAAATTTTCGTCTTTTGTTTAGGAAACTAGCCTGACCAGCCAATAGTAACGCAAGTGACACAACCATCTAAAATCGGTGTTCTTCACCACTTGCTCTTTGTAAAGACTCGCGAGCACGTCTTTCCCGTGAACGTCCAACGTGACTAACGCTTCTGAAATTGTAAATGTACATTTCACGTTTATTCGTATTATTTTCTTTGTCACAATGAATAAATTTATAGAAATGAGCCATTTGTTTCTCGAAAGGAATTGAATATCAGTCGTTCGTAGGTAGAGTTGATATTAAAAATTTTATAATCACCCAGAGTGATGCGATTCTGTTTCGATAATTTGCCTCTGATCAACGATATTATGTCATTTAGCTCCGTTTGACATTGTTCCAAGTATTTCTTCAACCCTTGAACGTCGAACAACATCGCTTCCTCTATACGTAGAGTCCAATACATTTTGCCAACGCAAAGGATCGTCTGACCTGGCCAATCCAGCACCCAAACCTTCCTCAATTTGATAGGATACGCCTGAATCGCTAGCATCACCTCCCTTCGTATACTCTTTCGCATAATCGTTTCCAATTCGATCAACCATTTCTCTACTTGTCCCCTGGCAGCAGCTGTGGATATCTTTTCTATCAATTTAACTTCTTCGTCCTCTGTCGATATCATGGCGAGCACCTCGAGATCTTCGTCGAAATTTAAACGATGTATGCCCTCGAAACATTTCTTCAAATGCGGCTGAACGCTAAATGTTAAAGCGTGAATTAAATTAAGACGTTTAAGGTGTAAAATATAATACAGAGAGCAAGTCGATTGTCAAAAATTTGTTACGAAATTGTAAATACAAAGAATTTATAATAAAATAATAATTTAATAATTATCTAACTATTATTTGATTGTTAAATAACAGTAATAATTAAATAATTTATTAAATTTATCTCACTTAGATATTGTTTCTAAACTCCGTCGATTAAATTACCGAGTTGGATCCTTAGTTTCAGAAAGAATTTCCAGCAGCTCGTCGTTAGATAGGAAAAAGAATCTCGGGAAGAAGAGTCGTTTCCTTTCGAGATACTCATTCAGACCCTTTTGAATGTCTTCGAGTAATCCGTAGCTCTTCTTTAGACGCTCCAGCATTTTATCGATTTCGACGACCACGAAAATGCGAGGATCCGCGTGAACGGTCTTCATAATGTCACGCCAGGTTTTGTCCACCGCGGAAAATTTCCTTCCCTCCTCTGGCATCTGTTGTTGGATATCCGGCGACGTGAAGATCGGCTCCAGGTACATCCAGATCGCCTGTACGCGTAGCCATTGGTCCAGAATATCTTGCAGCAAATGGAGTTTGTAGTCCCATCGCCTGTTCATAACGTTAGGTGACAGCTCGTAAAAATACTTTATGTCCCAATTTTCCATAACAAGGCCTTAAACGAACTGTAGTATACAATATTCTTTAACACTGGAACTACTAGAGTTGTCACAGTGATTCATTCGTCAATTTTCCATAGGGATTTTATAGATTTATTTCATAGGTTTTTATTTTACTTTCTCCCTTGCATTATATGTATTATGTAGTAAATGCAAATTCAAGTGATCCGCAATTCACAGATTACAAAAAATATTAATCAGTTAAGAAATAGAAAGATATATAGCAAATAAATAAGAATTTATGAGAAAAGAAATTACACATATACATACACGAAAGTGACAGAATCTTTACTGTATGGTATTATAAATATTACTACACTATAGTAGTTCTAGTGTTGAGTTTCGTCGATTTTCTTACAGTATCCTTGTTTCAAAGGGTTTTATGTTCGGTGAATTCTTGATAGTGACGGTCCTAATAATGTGATCGTCTAAAAGAAGCTGTATATCGTCGACACCAGCAATGACGTATGTACCGGTATCCTTGAAAGGGTTCACCGTGAAGTATAAATCGGCCCAATCTCTCTCCATCTTATCCATGGCTTTTTCCAATGTGGCTTCCTTCGAAGCATTGTCCGAGATACTCTCAAACAGACTGACGAATCTACCTAGATTCATATCCAGGATCTTCGCCAATGTTAAATCAGGATCGACCTTTATCGGGACGTTTATGATCTCCGAAATTTCTGCCCAATGGCGATCCTTTAATCCCGGATTACCAAGCATAAATATGATCGGCATGTGTTCCCTGAAGTCCTCGATTTTTTCCCGAACGCTGGCTGCTAGCTGCCTCAAAGCTGGCTGATGAAAACTTCTCTCCAGTTTATAAATCGTTCTACTCGTGAAAAACAATTTTCGTTATCTTTGACGGAAAAATTAACGTTTCGTTTTCATAACTGTTAAGAAATGCTGAAGAGATATGCTTAATTTTTAATTATAAAACTTATTACTATCATATTGTAGATGTTTATGAATATTCAAACTTTTATATATATTATTCCTAATTAGTAATTTCTTTCTTAAATAATTTGGTAAAATTTACATATTATTATTATACAAATCGACCAAAATATCCAAATACTCGTGAATGAACTCGATAATGTATGAACTTTGGATATTTCATATATTTTTACAGTCTTTATTACTCTGTCATACTTTTTGAATTTTTAGAAATGCATAAACATCCACGATCTAGTTACAATGTAGAAAATATGTCGGACCTGAACGCGTATCCTACGTCGTTGTCGATGTCCTCCGGATTATAACTACCGATCATGGAGTTTAACCATTTATCGTGCTTTGTCAAAAAGTCACAAATTGCATCAAAGAGTTGCTTGAAAGGTTTCAGTTGATCAGCAATCTGCTTACGACGTGGATATTGCGTTATGTCCCAGCCAAACGAAGCTTCTTCTTCGTTAAACTTATCGATCTTGTCCATGGCGGCGATCAATCGATTCTCTAAAGTCTGTGTCTTTTTCTGATACTTGTACACCTCTGCTATGTCTCCCCAATGTTCGATCTCGTCTACTTGTTTCGCGTAAGACTCCAATTCCTCTTTGAACTTAATATACCTAACTATTGAAGCAAGAAACAATCGTCAATTTCTTCGAATAAATGTTTTTCCTTTTTCTTCTTCTTCTTTTTTTATTAAATTAAATCAAGTTTATTTAAACTCAAGCAAGTTGAAACTACTTTACATACGTGACTCGAAATATCTTTTCAAGTGACTCGTTGTTTTCATTAGTGAAATCATTTGATTTCAAGTTGCTTGAATTCGAGTAATCTGGACGAATTTCTCAAACCTCTTAGTCCTTGCTGAAATTCTAGCGTCTTAATCGCAACGATGCTTTCGTTTTCCTCCAGAATATCGGGTACTTTATGGTACCACTGAAAAGCTTCGTTATTCGTGATTATCTCGATGTCACTGAGAAGACGATAATCGGACAACAGCAAAATATGTTTGATTATTTGATAGAGATTCTGCTCGAGAGTCTTTAAAGTAACTTCTCTGGTTATCTTAATGAAGCTTTTAAGCTCCATCAGTTCGGCCGTGTTGGCGGGCATGCTCAAGGCACGATCAGATATACTTTGATACTGCTCTGTAATTCTAAATCGCATCTGACATTATTGATCGTGAAACCACGAAATAAATTCATTGATGTTTGTTAAAATAATTGAAGACTCACTTCGTGGCCATGTCTTGATACCTCTCGACGAGTGTGTCGGTGAGAAGACATTTTATACGATAAACGTTATCGACGATTGCCTCGGTGAACATTTTTCGAGACACCTTGAACAATCCAGCAAAAACTGTCCTTTCAACTTCGACGGGAAAGTTCAGCATGAGATTGTGATAATGTTTGATTAAATTGTTGTAGTCCTCTAACTTCTTGCTTTCATCTTTTACAAATCGTTCCACTATATAATACTCATCGTCGTTGTATAAATGTTCGTATCTGTAATAAATGTAACAAATTGATTCATAAATTAATATGCAATTTATTAAATAACAACAAGAATTAGTCCACAATTACATTTGTAATTCCATTAATATCTGCTCTGGAATAAGTCTTTCTCGATCGATTAAGTCAATAATTTCCTGCTTCAGTTGTTGCACTTTGGAATGCTCTATGTGCGGCTGTTTAAGAAAGAATTTTGAAATATGTATTCGAATATGTGCGTTGGATATATATGATATAAAAATATAACAAAGAAATTTTATACTTCTAAAAATCCTTCTTTGCCAGACCAATCTAAATAAAGCTGCATTTCTAATTTGTCGAAATATCTAACTGCCTCACATAATTTGTCCACGATATTGCAAAGCACCTCCTTAAATTTTTCAAACGATGGCTCAAAAGTCAGCTGCTTGAAGCTAACAATTATGTCCACATTAAATTCACAGTTAATCGGCTACAAGCAATAAACGATTATTACACAGTTTGTTTTATTATAATTGCGGGTGTTTATTCATTTGTGAGAAATATAAAGCTTAGAACTTTAGTTTTATTTCTTTAGGTATGTTTATAAGATTGGAATTTGCATAAATGAATTATAAGTACCTTGCCACGGATAATTAAATCCATAAAATCTTTCAAACTATATTTACACATTGACAAAAGCTGCGATTCCATTATTTTAGCAACACATTCGTAGAACCTTTTGAATCGTATGCGTTGTAGCGGACTCGGGACTAATGATTTTCTGTTATTCTATGAATAAATAAAGTGACCATTAATTTATTTTTTTTTTTTTTTTGTTTATATGAAATATAATTTACGATAAGTAGGCATTGCAATGAAAATTTATAAAATTTTACCACGAGAAATATATCTTGTATTCCATCATACCAAAAATTCTTCAATATATTCTTCCCTTTTGTAATTTGCTTATTAATCATCTTGTTAAATTTTATTAAATCCCAACTTTCTGTATATTGAGCAATTTCTTCTACAACGATCAATCGAAAATCGCTGAAAAATGATGAAATCTTGTTTCAAAGCGGAAGGGTTATAAATGAATAATTTTTTTACCGATATTCGCGGACCCAAAAATCTAAAGTCATCTTCATGCATGGGTTTATTAGAAATAAATTTTTCTGTAAATTTTCGCGGTATTCTCGAATCTTGACTTTTAAACCAGGTACAACATATTTCATGTGAAGCAACTTTCCATCATTTTCCTTTTGCTAAAAAGAGATATGTTTTTATAAAATAAATATATCACGTATAAAAAATACAACTGGAATTTCAATTGAACCTCGAATAAAAAATTTTCTACAGGATCTTGAAGTGCGTATTGCAGTATTGCTTTTTTAATATTTTTTGAGTAAATATCTTTAATCTCGATCAGCAAGTTTTCCGTGTGGTAAGTGAACCGGACTCTCAAATAACATGGAACTAAAAGTAATATCTTCTCTATAATGTTATCCTGAATTTGTACTGTGTGAAGAGTGTCAATTCCATTGCAAATATAATTGTAGTATCGGTTCACATCTTCGTCGTTACTTAAATCTATATCTATATTCGGTAGTTCAGTTTTGACAATCAAACTGACCACATATCTACAAATAAACGTTATCTCAAGCACTAGTTTCTTTATTGTAAGATTTTCTTTACAATTTTAAAAAATTTGGCAGAAATTCAAATGCTTTGCTGACCTACGAAAGTTCTCTACTTTTAATCGTTTTCCTGTGTACGTATCCTCAAATTTAGTTTGCTTTCGTTTCTCTTGCAGTTTCTTGCACTTAATGCATTCCATTAATTTCGGTGGCAAAGAAAATAATGGCTCGCTTTTTATTATTTCAGCCACTTTTGATATCTTCGGAACATCTTTGGCGCGCTTTTTTTGAACTGTCGGACGCGAAATACCCTCGCACGATGTCACTTCCTCACAGTCGCATTCCATATTGGAATTATTTGCTATGTAAGTGACTGAAATATTGAAAATACTCTGTGCTTGAAACATTTCACATGTATTTGTACAATGAATATGTCATTTTGAGAAATTAAAAGTTGAGTAATGAAATGTAAGTCAAAAAATTAATGTTTATCACTACCTTACAGCAGAATTTTGTATCAATACAGACGGCGCCACTTTCAGACTTAGTGGTAATAATTGTTTCACATTTTCGTCTTTAAACTGTATACACAGTAAGTATATATTGCGAAATAATATTTCTTCTCAAAATGTTAGAAATTCAAAGAATAGTATCACGATATAATACTTTTAACGCGTTAAAAATCTTTTTTCATATGTTTAATGTTACAAGATTGAGCAATACGCTTTACTGCAATTGACTGTAGTTTCCAGGCAACGAAATTGATCGATTTCTGTAGGATTTATAAAAATTTCAAATGAGAATGTCCTTTTTAGATTATTTGATTATAATTGTTATTACACCTAAGTAGAGAATGATGCAAAATAAAGTCGGTACATTTTTAGGTTAGGTCTCAATGCAACATTTTTTCAATCTTCGTTTATGTGAAATAATATAAGTGGCATGTTTCAGATGCTTTCACGTCAATTTTTTCGTTCAATACATACAAATCATATACTTTGTTATACATCAAAGAAAACACTGTTAAGCAAATTACGTAAGAAAACTGGATATACATTTATAAATTGTAAAAAAGCCTTAGAGCTAAATGAGAATGACGTGGAAAAAGTAAGACAACCATTGAATTATTTAAGAACATTGTTAATTTTCTGAATATTATAGGCTGAACAATGGCTAAAGGAGCAAGCCCAGGCTCAAGGATGGTCTCAGGCAATGAAATTAAAATCCAGAGAAACTTCTCAAGGATTAATAGCAATGATAACTAATAGCAATCATGGAGCACTTGTAGAAATTAATTGCGAGACAGATTTCGTTGCAAGAAATAAGAAATTCCATGATCTGGCACAGATCATACTTGATACTGTGTTAAAACACAGTATGACAATTCAACAGGATTCATTGGTCAAAAAAACTGTATTATCTACAGAATTAATAAATAACTTACATGCTAATGATGGAAAAAATTTGAGCGATCATTCTGCTTTAACTATTGGACTTATAGGAGAAAACATTAGTATAAGGCGTGCATTGTGCATGAGTGTGCAACCAGGTGCATATCTATATGGTTGTACACATCCTACACCTGTAAACCCAGTACCTTCGTCATTTGGGCGGTATGGAGCATTGATAGCCTTAAAGTCTGACGAAGACAAGAAAGTTTTGGGAATGCAACTTTGTCAACACATTATTGGTATTTATATTTGTCTTTGAATTATTCTATTATTTTTTTATATAAGTTTGTATCAATATTTCCTTAATATTAGGTATGAACCCAATCAAAGTTGGTGATCCAAAAGTCGATTTACCCAATGATAATATAGAAGAGGAACCTATTATGCTGTATCAAGAGTTTTTGTTTAATCCTGCTTCGTCTATACAGGAATTATTGCAAAGCGAGCAAGCTGAAGTCTTAGATTTCATACGTTTTGAAATGGGCGAAACGCTTGAAAACAGACAAGAATTGAATTCTGTAGAAACTTGCGGTTAAAGCAATTGGTATTCATTTAATAAATTTATGTATTTATCATATATTTTGTACATACTTTAAAAAATATGGTAGTACTGTAAACATTTTGCTAATCCATTATTATTATATAGGTAAAATACGTACAATTATTGCATTTCTTTATTACGCACGAATTGCTACAACGGAGTTATGACGGATAAAAATTATATTGTAGAAGAACTAAAATATTTTATTAATAAAATTATTCTTCAGTGATACATAAACTTGTCGAAAAGTATACTCGATTTAAGGTAATACTATGAACGGTAAAATAGTTTAAATCAAAAAACTTTACGTCTGAAATTGTACATAATATTCAAATTATGTTTCTTCATCAGTTTCTTTATTTGTTGAACATATGTTAAATGATTTTAATTTATTCCTTTTTCGCATGAGTTTCACAGATTTCCAAAGCCACATTCGTGAATCTTTTTTCCAATAACGAGCGATATCTTCTGGTGAATGCATAACACCCTAAATAAAGTGTAGAACCTTATAAATAATACACTATTATATATCAAACTTTACAAATCATACTTGAAAATTCAAGATATCTAAATGTTGAACAGATTTTCTATAGGGTAAAATATCTCTGGCGTTTAAGCCAAATAGCTCTTGGTTAATATCATCGGAAGGATCAGTTTGCGCATCGCTTGTTCGTCGAAGCGGTATCGTATCATTTCCAGATTCAATTTCCGCTTCCAGTTCCAAACGTTCAAGAGCCGATGTAAAGCTCCTTGACTCTTTACAATTCGCCTATTTCGAAACTTTGAACTTTCATAAAAAGGTAATAATTTATACTGTATCGTAAATAAATAAATTCTTCGACGTTGAATAAATTGTGTAAACCTGTACTCCTTGAGAGCAAACGTTACATCCTAATGTCACTGACAAACATATATCGCTCATAGTCTTGGACAAAAAATTTCTCTCATCCCATGCAAAATTTTCAACTACTCACAAAAGAAAAGACGCGGTTTAATATCGATTGGACCAAAAAATTCACGACGAAACAGTCACAAACCGCTTGAATGGTCGGACTCATCATTTCTCCAGTCCATCGGCTTCTTATCACGTCATATAAAATTATTAAATTGCAATTATCATATATAAAAACTTTCAAAAATTTCTTGTATCCTTTAAAATCAACTGACATGTACCGATTCCATCCTAGCATTGAAAAACAGCATCTTTCGGTAACGTTATAATAAATGAACAACTTCCAAACTCACACGACAGTATGAACATTAGGCGGCAATGGATTATAATAATCTGAACTTTCTCACTGATAAATACAGCAAATTGTGAATTAAATTATTATTCGCAAATTGTAGAGACTTTTAAGAAGCATAGGATCCGATTGAGTGGAGTTACATATTCATATTTAAAAAACTTGTGATAAATTTATGTTTTTTCAAATGTAAGTCGTTCATAGTCAATAGTATTATATTCGTTCATTGTTAAAAGAAAAATTAAAACTTCATTCTCTGTATTGTAAATAGGTGATATCATCTTTGATAGAGAATCGCATTCTTGGACACTCTTGATCTCTCATGAAACGCTGTACTAGAAGATAATCGCCAACGTTATTCGAATCCAAAGGGGAAAAAAAAAAAGAGTACGATAGGAGACCTTCAACATGTCAGAATGACGTTAGAAAGGTATAGAACAGGTGCGCTGAAGCGAGATGTGTATGCCACAGAGGCGATGCCCGCATGGTTGAAACGTATATCCAGCAAGTACTCGTTGGTCACGGCTGGCCGGCCGGGGTTCCGGGCCGACTTCCGGACGAGTCCGCACCGGTACGGTTTCTTTTTAGCGAGGAACGCATGGTATCAGTTGTGTTCACGTACAGTTAGACGGTGTTACCTCGTAGGAAACGCCTTCTCGCCTGCTTCTTCGCGCATATCGCAGCAGATTCGTTCGTATATACACTTCTTTAAATGACGTGACAGAAAAAAACGGGGAAAGAAGAACGATGGACTTCTCCAGACGGGTGAGTCTACAGAGAAACTATGCGAAACCAAAGACGCGAGACTAATCGAGACAGTTTCTGACAGTTAAGAATAAGCGATCGTTCGTTCTTTGCCAATGAAATATTCGAGCAATATTTTATAATTGCATAACTTAGCAGCAAAATGTTATTACTGCTAAACAGAAAACGAAACGAAGGGAAGAATTCTTTTTCCACACGATAAATTTAGCTAAACGGTAACGGATTATTTGTATTTCATGTTTTATTATTGCTTTTCATCTTGCATTTTTCTAGTTACGTAAAATAATATTTTATTATTCCATGAATGAGCGAGAAAAATGTTACACGAAGGAAAGAATCTTACCGCGCTATAAATCCGGTGAAACAAACGTCAAGTTGGACAGCAACAAATTTTTACTTCCTCGCGAAGCAGCTTTACTTCGTGGTAGATCGACCATGCACAGGTCGGTGGGCGTGCAGCAAGTGCAGTCACCACTTCCTGCCGCAAATGATCGTCGCGGACGACGCTCAAATAACACGTGTACCGTTCGTAACATATGTATGTATGTACGTGTGCGCGGGCGTGGACATGAATGAACGTGGAGATGCATCTGCAAAGACAATAGCGTAGCTGTATACGTGCGAACGCTGCACTTTGCATCACCTACACGAACGTATAGCTTAGCGCATTAACGGCAATCGGCGCACACCCGGAGATAGCGGCGTGTTACCTCATCGGTGTTGAAACACATTGTACCCAAGACAGGACAATGTGCGGTCTATGAAAAGCGTAGAAACAATTAACAAATCAGTCGTGAGCGGTGAAAAATTGTTCGCGTCGGGACAAAACAGTCGCGCGAGGGAAACGAATCGAAATAATCGTAACGAATGTCTACGATGGAATCTGTAACTTGGTTCTATGACAAGCGCTCCATAATTTAATTTATGCATATTACCAAGTTTCAGATGATTAAAGAACTTTGTTATAAACACAATTATCACAATTGTTTCATTGAAAAATTCCATTGTCTTCTATTAGTCTTCTTAAAATCAATTTTATCATATCATAATAACAAAATAATAATACAAAATATATACATTACTCGTCACCTATATTAAAACTCTATAACCAGAGAAATAGTTTCGCTATCAGTGTCTAATAAAATCTAACGTCTAATGAAATCTCAATTCGCTAAGACCATTCGCGCTCGCGTTTTATTTGAAATTTGCAATATCAAAATTCTGAATAACGAGAAGAAGATCAATTGTTAAAGCAACGCGATACTTTTCTAGAAAACTCCGCAATTCATTGTCCGTTCATTAAGTATCAAAGCTACAATATGAATATTCTTCGTGCTACCTAAAACTGTGCCATCGCGTCTATTCGCGTTATTTCTACAAATACAGAAACAATATGTGTACATCCGTCTCTCTGTAACACTTATTAATGCTTACATCCTGCTCCAATAGAAACACCATCCGCCGTGAAAAGAATACGGCAATTAATTTCTGATAAAATTTCGCCTACATTAATATTTCTTTCGACCGTTCAATTGTAGTGGCAGACAAACACATAGGAGAGCAGGTTTACACAGCCGCGTGTACGAGTATACATACGCACGATTGCGGATCACCTGCGATTAAGTCCTTCCGAGGACCTCGCTCCCGTGAGTTCTCATACCCCAGTTTTCTGCCAGCAACCGTTCGGTACGAGCACTGATCGCGTTTCTCCGTTGCGAAATTCAGGCGCGCACACTCGTATCGTGATTCCGAGTTTTGAGAATCAATCAGGAACGATCAAGCAAGTGCTCGATCAATTTCAAACATAGAAGTAATTCATTAAAAAAAAAATATATATATATATATATATCCAACAATCAGCAACTGATAAAAGAACAAATAGTAAAATCGTGTTCGAAAGTCGAAGAACAGTGGCAAATGTCAGAGCTATTGGGAAACATCGAAGAGCCGGTGTGTAATTAAAAATATGTTACAATAGAAGTAACGAATTGAATTAAATGAGAGAGAGCGTGAGAAGAGCGTAACGCGCTGTAATGTCCATCATTACGATAGCTTAACTTTGGAAAGTATAAAAGAACACAGAATGTTCCTAAAAATATTTAGACACCTATGAAAATTTTGCATATATGTATTATTAGTATGCGAAACACTTTGAAATTTCATTAATACTATGAGACGAGATATATTTATCGTGATTATATGTTGGTAAAACTTGAAATAGTAGTAGCTTAATGTAATAAATAATTAAACGTTCAGATACTTTCATGAACAACTATAGAACGGAACGAAGATTAATATAGTTTTATTGCAAAAAAGACTGGAATTGTAGTTTCATCTATTCGGTTTACGAATATTCATATCGTTTGTTTCTTATTTTCGTTCGATATCGCATGTATGACCAATTCGATATCGTGACCACGTTGTTCCCATTTTTAAATCCTTGAAATTAAAGTTCGCGATAGTAACGTTATTAGCAAACACATTCATGTTTACTTAAGAAGTATAACGTTAAAATTTACTTAAGAAGTATAACTGTTTTCTAACAATGAAATGTCAATTGTGTGATTTCAGGACGACAAAACCTGCCGTTCCGATGATTCTAACGGTGAAATCTTTAAGAATGTTCCGAGGAACAGTAGTACGTTTCGCATTTGGAAAATCGAGGTACCGTAACAAAATAAAAATGCAACGTAATTTATACTGTTCGCTACGTTACAACACATGTAATTACACATGTCGCATAGTTTTAATTAACTGCTTTTCAAGAGATCGTGAAATATAAAAAGTAAAAGTCGTGAAATTATAAATTTCTCTTTAATGTCCAGGGTTTACGAGTTACAGCCGTTACAGGAAGTAATATGGGATATTTCCTCTCGGAGTTGGCGTACATCATCTACGCAGTGTCGCCGAAAGACGGCCCCTTGCCTTACCCTGGAATGCCCGTAATTTTTTCTCTTTTATATTTGTTATCTTTAAAATGTATAAATATTTGCAGTTTCATCTAACAATATATATTTTCAAAGAGTATTCAAGGTAATCAATACCATAATTAATTACAGTTACCGGCTTACACTACCATATATTAATTTATCATTGAACTATATGTTTCTATCATTTAAACAGGTTAAGGAGATAAAATTGAACGCGATAATTCGTGTAATTCATTTCTGGATTGGATCGGCATGCGATTCAACAATCTCTGGGGCAGCAGCCCTTCGAGCGGCCGAATTGGATTCGCAAGTATCTGCCACGATTTTATCGAGAGAAGCGCAAGGACGAGAAAGTTCTAGATTTCTGGCCTATTTTCGTCAGCATCTTATTATCGAGAATTTTCACTTCGAAACACCGTCGTGTAAATTGCACAGAGTAACCGGCTTAGTGATCCCTATCTTGACGGAACTTGAGAAAGTTCATTGGGATTATTTCACTTCGCGGGACGTTATTCTTGTGGACGTTTTGTCACAGTACGTAAGAAATTAAAACCGTTTTATTGTTAAGTTGTTCGAAACAATAAATTTCATCTCATTGCGATTAAAGAGATATATTTTAAATAATTTCATTTAAAATAAAATTACTCACCAAAATATGAATCTGCATAAAAGAATAAACGTCGTTCTTATAATAATGTAATAATAAATGTTAAACAGGGGTATCATATTCCTTTGGTTGGGATCGTCAGCAGATCCCTTACATAAACGGCACGCAGTCAGTATCTTAGAAATGAGAAAAGAGAATAATAACGTTCGTGTCGTCATCGTGGACGATGGTTACGAACAGACATTGCCAGAAGAAGAGAGACAACTATTCACCAATATTTTAGATACTTCAACAAGAGTGGTTAAGCCCGATCGGCTTTACCGAGTCAACATGCCAAATCCAGTCAAATTATATAGATGTAGCGAACAATCTGGTAAATACAAGGTAGCAGAACTGAAATCTGGACCAATTCTTCGAACGGATCTTACGTCCGAAGCTGTTTACTTGATTGATCGTGGTGAGGCTGGTGTTTGGGCCTGGGTCGGGCGTAATGTGAACGCTCGAGAAAAATTGGAAGCAATTCGTAATGCGCGAGGATTCGTAAAGAAAAAAAATTACAGCAATGGCGTATTAGTTGAAAGAGCGTTGGAGGCTTGTGAACCGGTAGAGATGAAAGCTCTCGTTAGAAAATGGGAACCGGCAAAGACAAGACCACTTACTCTACCACCGAATTTTGATTCTGATTACATGAATGAAAGACCTAAAATAGCAACTGTGTGTCAACTAGTTGACGATGGATCCGGTCAAAGAACTCTTTGGAAGGTAACCCATAAAGAAGCAATGATTCAAGTGGACGACAAAGGGATATACTACGCGGAAGCTTGTTACGTAATGTGTTACAAATACGGGCAAGGACGTAGAAGTAAAACTATCGTACGTTAAAAGTGTAATTTTGAAAGTTGAAGCAGTTAAATTATTAACAATTGTTATAATTATTGTTAAATTTGAAATGACGTAATATTATAGATTTATTGTTGGGAAGGAGTCCATTCTATAAACGCGGATCGAGAAGCCGCTTTAGAAGCAGCTTGTCGTTTGTCAGAAAATTCCTCTGGTCAATTAGTTAAAGCATCTCAAGGTAGAGAACCACCACATTTGTTGCAAATTTACGATGGAAAATTGAAAATATTGGCTGGAAGGCACCGTGATTCTCGTAAGCCACAGAATAAATGATTTATTTATTTCTTTTTTTTTAATCCTCAGTAAGACTCTCTTGTTTCATAGCTCCGGAAAAATATCTCGTTAGAGTTTTCGGATCTACCCCATACACGTCGAAAGCAGTTGAGCGGCCTTTGAGATCCAGTAGTCTCGATTCTAGTGGAGTTTTTATTCTATTTTCTAACTCACCTGTAGTATGGTGCGGTGGAAGAAGTACTGGTGATGCGAGACAAGCATCTAGACGTCTCGCGCCCAGAAATGCACCTTTAATAACTGAAAATAACGAAGACGATGATTTTTGGAGAGAACTCGGAGGTGAGTAAGAGAGGAAAATATATAATCTCTAAATTTAACTAAATCTCTAAATTTAACACTGAACGATAAGTTATACGTGAACTTAAAATCTTTAAGGTAAAGGTACTTATGGCACAGAAGTTATCGATGATGGAGAAGAACTTGAGAAACATTTGTACCAATGCTTGACGATCAGTGACACGTTTGTCGGCGAAGAAGTTCTTGGATTTGGTCAAAGTAGTCTCCTTCCAGAAACTATTTGGTTATTAGATGCTGGAAATGTAATATGGATCTGGATTGGAAAGTTTTCTATTCCTAAATCATTAAAGGAGTGTGTACATGATGCAATGATATTTTTATTCACTCACCCAGCTGGTCGTGATCGAAATACAACGATTTCTGTAATTAAACAAGGTAAATAACTTATTTATGTTTGAGAAAAGTGAAAATTTCAAAGAATCTCGAAGTGAAACAATTTTCTCACTCTTTAGGAATGGAACCTTCAACGTTTATTGGATTATTCGATAATTGGAACTATAATTTACTAAGGGAATACAAATCATTTGAAACATTTTGCACACTTTTGCAAGATAAGGAATTCCTACCGAAAATACAAACGTTATCGAAATCATTAAGCAATTTCGATAATTATGTGAAGTATCCCCTTTCTGTCTTGAAAGGTGATCCAGAAAATTTACCATCTGGTGTCGACGTTGTTCGTAAAGAAATGCATCTTACTTTTGATAATTTCATTGCAATTTTTAAAATGGAACCAGACGAATTTGTAAAACTTCCTACTTGGAAAAGACAAAGACTAAAACAATCGGCAGGACTTTTTTGAAATGTATTTTAATAATATAGTTTTGTACCATAGTAATTATAACACCAAAATAGAATAAAACCATATTATTTTAATGTTTGAAATTGAAAACAACATAGAACTTTAAAATTTAAGTGTTATAATTAAATCTTTATTTATTACAAATTCATGTATATATCCAAATGAAAAGTTTAAAACTGTTTAATATATATATTTTAAGATGAAGTATCCATTGGCTCTGTTTCAAGTCTACGTACAGTTTCTCCCTCAATGATTATAGGATGAACCATTTTGTTAAGCACAGCGGTAGTACCACGTTTATAGCGGTATGATATATTGCGCTGTCCCTTAACATTAGCAACATCATAAGGACGCAAATAATCAACAGAACCTTTACGTATGACACATAAATCTACATTAGAACCAGAAGCCAAGTCATTAAATACACCAGCACGAATAGCATCTGCAACCAATTCTTTAGCCTCCTCTTCCTACAAACATTTAAAGGTGAAATATAACACATAATAGAATGTGTAAAAATATTAATATCTTAAAAATATTAAGATCCCTACTGTCATATCAGGTTTCCATCTACTTTCAAATACAGCCATGGCAGCTAACGATCCTGTACCCATACTTGTATAAAGGTGACGATCTGAAGATCCATGAGGATAAATACAATATAAATGTGGTCCATCTAAATCAACACCTCCTAATATTAAGGCTGCTCCAATGTTGCCTTGATAACGGAATAATAACTGTTTGATCATAGCGTTTGCAGTACAGACTGGCACTATGCGGTTAGTATTTAAACGATGTAACTCCAATTGACTGGATATCATCTGAGTTGTCATTTCAGTATCAGCAGCAGTTCCAGCACCACAACAACTTAAAAATAATTATTCAATTACTTTATTAATTATTAAATTAGAATATCAATTAATATTACGCTGGTTTAAATAATTAAGGATTAATTTTGAAGAGATTAATTTTTTAAAAAGTACTCACTATATATTTTCAGTAAGATAATGAATCTTACTACAGTTTTTATCAGCAACTATGGTATTTTCAGTTGATCTTGTATCACCACCAAGAACAACTCCATCTTTATAAACAACTCCAGCAATTGTTGTTCCTGTTTTAACAGCTTTGGGAGCTTGGAATCCTTTCTTTACTAAAAAATTGTTTCTGAAAAAGATATGCCTCCTTATATATTTACAAGAAAGAAGTGTTTAATAAGAGAAATAAATAATGTTAAAAATGACACAGCAATATTAAGTCATAATAGGTTATGCACTACGACATATTACTCTTCCTTTTTATAATTATGTTTGTTACTGATTTTACTATTTTTAATAATATAATTTTGAAATGCTATTACCGTTGACAAAGATCAAAAGAAAATCCTGGTGCAGGAATTTCAGGCACAAGTACCGACGACATGATTCAAAACTTCTAACTCCATGAAAAGAAATACAATGAAAAGCATTTTATAAATGTTACCATTTGCCAGTAGATGGCAGTTTTGTAGAAAGCAGTACATTTTTAATTCACTTAATTTAGTAACTAACACAGTTTACTTTTTTCTCATTCAATTGAATCAGGATAATAAATAAAAATAATTTAAAATATGTTACATTTATTAAAAGTTAAATACAACAAAATGTTCATGAAATAAAATATCAAATAAAAATGTATATTGTAATTTTAGAAATTTAAAAAGAACAAATACTTAAAATATCTAACGTATAAATTTCTGAACATATAAATTTTTACAACATTAAATGCATTATTTTTAATACAAATGAATAATATAATAATTTACAAATTTAAAGATGATTTTCTTAAATTATTAAAAACATGCTACATAGTATTTAACATTTACAAAATATGGTATGAAATTTAATAAATCGTAAAAATTTCCTAAAATATCTATAAACAAGTTATATCGTTAATGATCTCTGCCATCATATTTTTATCTTGTAAAGCTGCATCCAGTTCTTCTTGATCCCATTCCAAATGTATTTTTGTCAAACGAGGTTCTTTTTTCCTCGTTAATTTTAAAATTCCTCTAGTTTCAATCAATGAACATAAACTGTAAAATTCGGAACCATCGACAGCATGAATATTTCGTTTATTGCAAACTTTTTTGTATACTTCATGCAACTAAAACAAAATTATAATGTTATATGTGAAAAATTTTTATCAAATTTTTATCATAGTTGTTTACATTATTATACTTACTCTTCCTACTGTCACATCTTTGTTTCGACCTTTATTTAGAATAAGTAAGAAAGAACATAATAGTAATTTTTGTTGTAATGGAAATGTACTTTCCTCCTTTTCAATATTTTGAGATCCACCATAAACACCATTTAAAACAGTAATAACTTCTCTTATATCTACTGGTTGGTCCACTGTAGATTGTTGTTTCTTAGGTACATTTATTTCTGTAAAAAAGAATTAATTTCATTTAAAAAATAATATTCACTTTTATTTCACTTTTACTGCATGTAATACATACCATTATTACTAGTTGGTTGTAAAACTTGTGCCAATTTATAAGATTCAGCGAGCTCTATTACTCTTCTACTGATATCCAATGCTCTTCTAATATCACCAGAAACAGCAGCAACTTTTCCAGATAACATTTGTATCGCAGTCTTAGTAAACAAATCAGACGCGTTTGCTTCATTTAACCTGTCCGATATTATATTACATATTTCTTGTTTTGTATATGGTGAAAAATGCATCAACTTTGGTTTCAATTCACATCTAGCTTGTAATCTAGGCAATATTCTATCTGTTAAATCTAAAGCATTAGCAATTCCAACTAAGATCAATTTTGAATTGTGTATTGATGGCCATTCAAAGATAGAATATAAAACAGATTGTTTTTTACTTTCTAATTGATCTATTTCATCTAAAATTAGTAGCAACATTTTGTGATTAGAGTTTAAATATTTTTCAATAACTGCTTTACTGTTTTTTCCAGATTTTGACACATATAAACCTAACTCTTGTACAATTTTTGCATAAATTGTAGCAGCAGATTTCATAGTTGTACAGTTAATATAGACTACTTTCAATTTTGACTTAAACTCAGTCTTTAATATAAGCTTTGAGAGGCATGCAGTTTTTCCAGTACCAGGTGGCCCTGATACATATAAAGAACCTGATGTCTCATTTTTTAAATGCTCTTCCATAAACTCCTGTAACTTTTGTAATTCAATTTCTCTACCAGGTAATGTTTCAGGTACTGAACTGTGCAGAGCTCTGCGAGCACTGCGATATCTTTCCGAGCCAAATAATTTTTTCGGTGCCAATCTTTCCTCCTTATTAGGTGACGATGCCAAATTTAATTTATCAAAAAGAGTGGAAGGTGTAGTGGGAGATGTTGACATATATGATTTATTTGTCCTTCTTTGTTTTGGAGGTGTACAGCCATGATCTTCTGAAAGAAAAAAAGAATAAAATCATTTGTAATATTACATATAAAAAATATACAATTATTAATAACATTCGTAATTCATTTATTACCATCAGATTCGGTTGATTTTCTCATACATTGAGGAGTTTTCACACTTATAGCATTGCCGCTGATTTTTGCATTTTCTATATCTGAGTCTGAGTCCGATTCGCTACTACTTAAAGTAATAATCTTCTTCACAGTCGGTGTATATTTATAAGATGAGTCTCTAGCAGTTGCATTACTAAAATCTTCTTTCGTTACATTATTTTTAGATCCATAAAACGAACATTTTTTTCGTACATTAAATGGAATTGTCGTTTGAATACTTGTCATTTTCTTTTTGATTAAATTATTAACCTACACAATTTTTATATAGATTTATTTTACGAGAATTTTATTCTTTTCGAAATAATACGTCTAAATAATGCAAACTGTTTCACATTTTTTTTTCTTATTTTTTAACCTACAATTTTTTCGAAAAGCAAAAAGATTATTTAAAAATTTCCCCAGAATTTAGATTAAATTTCACATTCGTTAATGTTATCTTAATTTATAAAATAAATGTTCCAATTAATTATTTATACTTTGTTAGAACACGTTCCACGTATGTACTGTACGATAAATGCCGTACTCTGAGATTTCCCGCGGGAAAGTACTTTAAACGCGGGAAACTAAAGACATGTGAAAAGGAAACGGATATAGGGATTTCTGCGTAAAAACAAAAATCTGAAGAATACAAAACATCAATTTTAGATAGTACACAATAAAAAAATTTACAGATATGAATCGATATTAATATATATAACGTTAGTTATGTTATACACTGACACAAATAATTTATTTTAATATGATATATATGTATAAAATATGTTTGCATAAAAATTTACTATCCCTCTAGAGGTAAATATAAGAACTAGAGAGTTCGATGTTTGAGGATTAGACACGAGTTCCTTTGTTCAGCTCCTTCACTACTTCGCTGCCATATTGACGTTGTAGCGTAAAGAAAGTGGAAGGCTTGGCAATAAGTGGAAGGCTACCATAGAAATCGAGATATTTTAGAGTAATCTAAAACTCTCGTA